GGAGCTCCTTCGGAGCCTTCTGAGGGGTTCTGACGAGCCTCTGAGGGCCTTTCTGGGGAAACCTCTTCGGTCCTCCTGAACCTCTGGGAAATCTCTTCGCCTTTCTTGGGACTCCCTGGCGGGCCTCGGGGCCGCGCCCAGAGGGAAAACCATCGTGGATTAACGCGCCTCAGCTCCATTCGGCCAGCGAACTTCAGGTCGCCGCCGTGCTGCGAGGAGAACGGCAAGGCGCTCCGGGTGCAGACGTGGTGGCAAAGTTACGCTTCAGATGAATGTCATATCTTCACTGTTAGTTGGTGCAAAACCCCCAACAAGCAGATATGAGCGCTTCTTGTACAATGATGCCCTTGTTCGCTGTCGCATTTGCAGTGCTCCTCAATCTTCGAGTGCAGAACTGCATTTCGCATGTGGGGCATGTGCAGCTAAGCAGGCTCGGGATTGTATATGTTCAGGCATCGCATCTCTGCATGGCAATGTGAATTTAGAGCTCTTGTCAGAATTCGTTTCAGGTATCCGATCGCCAGAAAACCCTGTGCACCAACCATTTGACCCCGAGGATCAACGCAAACTGCAGGAATCCCTGGAGAAAGGTGCTGCGGTGCTTCTCAGCCTGCGGACTTCGCGCAGCACGAGTGTTTTGGTTCGTTCCCGCCACCTCGTGCGTCTGATCTACATTGCTGCCATGACGGGCTTGGCAGCGACCGTGGATGCTGCAGCGCCATACCTAGCTCAAAACGACTTGACAGGTTTCAGGCATTACCTCGACACTGCGGAGGTCGCGCACCGTGGCGGCCAGCACCCGGGGAAGATCTGTCGCGGCAACATTGCAGCGCAGCTTGTTGAGTTCATGCGCGTCGTCGGCAACAAGATGGCGCAACTGCTCTCCTCATGCACGCCCTCCCTGCAGACGGCCCAGCGGCGACAGGTGCTGCTCAGCCTTGCTCAAGTAGTTTTCCAAATGGCAAGCAAGCGCGAATTCAAGGTCGATGGATGCGGGGCATACAAGTGCAAACGAATCCTGGAAATCACCATGCTGGCTGGACTCAGTTCCAAACTGACAGTGCCGCGTTTGCTGCCTGGTGACCTCTTGGCTTTGTCTGGTCGGTGGCCGGTTCCACGCGGATCGCGCCTTGCCGTGCGAAAGATCATGCCCGGCATGACCACGAAACTTCGCGAACAGCAGGCTTTGAAAGCGATCTCTTTGACACTGGGCTCCGGCGGTAATGGCAAGTCGGTTCCTGTCTGCACGATATCCGCAATGTTGTGCTTCTGGAATGAGCACAAGAATAACGTGTTGCAGTTGGTGCAGGAGTGGGTGCCCAAGATGCTGTCGCGGCAGGCGGCGAGCCGCTGAAGCGTTTGCCCACTTTTGCCCGCGGTACTTCGTAGCCCGCGGTGCCTCTCAGCCCGCGGTGCTTCTCAGCCCGCGGTTGCTTTTCTAGACGCGTCTGTGCTGATGGGGCAGCACTGTTTTCTTCGCATACACTTCGAGCTTTTCTAGACACGTCGGTGCTGATGGGGCAGCGCTGTCTTCTGTGCAGACACTTCGACTCTTCTGGGCCGTGACTCCCTGCCAGAAAAATCATACATTGATACCAGATTCTCGTCTTCACCCACGTCCACTGTTCCCTTCGATCATCAACGCGGACATGAACAGTATAGCACAGAGCACGCACAGCACACAGCACACACACAGTGCCGCAGCACATAGCACGCACACACAGTGCCGCAGCACATCACAAAACAACATGGCACACCACACAGCATACACAGCACACCCATACACACACGCACATAACACAAGGGGGTGCGCTGCGGGCGTTGATAGCAGTGTCTCGTTTGGACATATATCCATTCAAATTCCTTGCGTTGATAGCAGTGTCCCGTTTGGACATACATCCATTCAAGCTCCGTGCGTTGATAGCAGTGTCTTGTTTGGACACACATCCATTCAAATTCCGCGCGTTGATAGCAGTGTCTCGTTTGGACACACATCCATTCAAATTCCGTGCGTTGATTTCTTATTGCTACTATTACTGTGACTGTTACTGCTGCTGCATGCCTCCAGCTATGCTTCTACACATCGCTGTTAGGTTGCTTTGCCGGGATAATTACACACAGGATCCCCGGGAAATCCCGGGAAACGACTCTCGCTGAGGCGCCGGCGTCATTTTTTCCCAAAATGCCGCTCTCGTTGAGGCGCCGGCCTCATTTCTGCTCCCGAATCGTTCCGAATCGTGCTCCCGCTGCAGCGTGGGCCTCATTTTCGGATCGGTGTTTGGCCTCCGTCGTTCAGGATGGCGTTCTCGCCCCAGCGCGGGCCTTTTTCTCGCGCGCCCATCCGCCCGCCACCACCGCGCCGCACCGCCACCACCACCACCACCACCACCACCACCACCACCACAACCACCACCAGCACCAGCACCAGTACCCACCACCACCACCAGCACCACCACCACCACCCACCAGCACCACCACCACCACCACCACCACTACCACCACCACCACCACCACCACCACCACCACAACCACGCACACACGCACGCACGCACGCACGTGCACCACCACCCACTACGCACGCGCGCGCGGAGCCACAGGTCCGCTACGACACGCGTCCGCGGATAGAGAAAATCAGCGCCATGGTAAGGGATGGGAGGGAGGGCTAGGACGTCAGATATGACGCGAGCGCACCTAGCTTGTCCCTCCCCCCTCCCTCCCCTCCCTCCTCCCTCCTCCCTCCTCCCTCCTCCCTCCTCTCCTCCCTCCTCCCTCCTCCCTCCTCCCTCCCTCCCTCCCTCCTCCCTCCTCCCTCCTCCCTCCTCCCTCCTCCCTCCTCCGTCGGGAACTGCTGCTCCGCGTGCCGCCGCGGCGGCCCCCGCGGACACGCTCCGCCCCTGCGAGCGGAGGGCGTTTTCCGGCGCGCTCTGCGGGGGCGGGAGGCTCGGGAAAGCCCTGGACGCTGAGGCCCAGGGGCCGCGATCTGGATAGCTGGGCGCCCGAGTTATCCGGGGTAACTCGGGTCCGGGGTAACTCGGGCTCGGATTCCCGAGAAAGGAGCCCGAGTTAGCCCTGACCCGAATTACCCCTGATGATTCGGGGGCTCTGGACGCCCGAGTTATCCGGGGTAACTCGGGTCCGGGATAACTCGGGTTTGGACTCCCGAAAAAGAAACCCGAGTTACCCCTGACCCGAGTTACCCCTGATGATTCGGGGCTCTGAGATAGCGTGTGGCTCCAGAGCAAGGTCGGCCAGCGCCGGCGGAGCGACACGCCGAGGCCCAAGTTCTCGACCGCACACCTCTGGCAAAGGGGCCCCCCCTCCGAACCAGGACACTGCTGACCACGACGCTGGCAATTCCACCTGGGGAGAGCGGAACTGGAGAATGTTTGGACCAGCGACTGCAGTCTTCTCGAGCGCACCAGCGTCCTGGTTCATCAGAGTCCCTGTGTGGGGGGCCCTGATCTGAAGAATATCCCTGGACCCAGGAAGGTCAAAGCACGGCTCGGGCTGGGGAGTTGGCCCTCGACAAGGGGTTGAGAGGTCCGCGGGCTGGCGACTCGAAAGATTCTGCCACGGACCCCGTGTTACTCATTGGCCTTTGGCGGTCTACGGCGTTCTCTGGCGGCCGTTTGCGCTATTCTGCGCGATAGCTGGACGGCTGGGGTTAACAGCGGGGCAGTAGAAATAACCTGGAAGCTGGGGGTCCAACACAGGGTCCAGCAACCTGCAGGACGCATCCGTTGCGAATGGAGGCACCGGGGGGCGCAGGCTGGCGAGGGGCAGCCTCGAGAATCGGGCAGAGCTTCGGGGTGTGCCTGGGAGCAGGCTCACATGCACGACACGGCACCCGAGGCTGAAGCACACGGAAGGCTGGGTGGGAGTGCGAAACGTGCGGGGAGCAGGCTCACATTCACGACACAGCACCCGAAGCTGGAACACATAAGGCTGGGTGCGAGTGCGAAAAGTGCGAACGCCGTATGTTGGACACACACACACACGCACGCACGCACGCACGCACGCACGCACGCACGCACACACACGCACACACACACACACACACACACACGGAGGGCCAATGGAGGGCCAATGCACGAGGTCGCTCGCCAGATACAAGTGAGTTTGCCAGTTGCCCGACACACGCGCTGAGTACACATGCGTATGCTGCCATACAACTGCCAAGCAAAGGAACATGATGATGCCACAGGAGTATCCTGTTATCGCGCAGGCTGGCTACACGTAAGTGCATACATGTTTTCCTTGTCTATGAACACATGGTCCGGGACACAGGGCGAGAGTAGAGGGGGAGGGGGAACAGTGTGAGTTGTCGTTTGAAGATGTCCGAAAGAGCGTGAGGGAGAAAGAGGGGGAGAGAGAGAGAGGGAAAAAACAATGGAAATACATAAAGAAACAAATAAATGAAACATATCACGAGAGATAGATTATAGGGAAACAACAAAAGGCGAGGGCATAGGATAAGGAACCATTTGATAGGAAACCCAGGGTCTGGAAGCCGGTGGAAATTCGATCGTGGACGGGCCACAGATAGCACGGCCACCCTCATCACATGACGAATCCTCCAGGGTCTGAGGCATCCTGGGCACATTCCTCAACGAACGCACGAACGCCCCCACTGCAAGAGAGAGGGAGGAAGAGACAGAGACGGAAAGAGAAGGAGAGAGAGAGAGAGAGAGAAGGCGAGCGAAGGCGAGAGAAGGACACAGAAAACGAGGGAGAGGAAAAGAGAGTGAGGAGAGGAAGAGAGAGGAGGAGAAGGGAGAGAGAAAGAGAGAGCACAGAAATCGACCTCAGCAGTTGATTGTGAACGACACCATGCAGCTCATGCAGCACCGCGACCACCGAGACGGCCAATCAGGGAGGCACGAGGTGCCACGGGAGGAGCCGCCGCAGCGGGAGCAGCGAACGGAGCCGGAGGAGCACGAAGAGCGGGAGGGGGCAGGGAGAGGAGGGCGCGGCGGGCCGAACGCGGCGGCGGGCGTGACCCCAGTGAAGTCGGTCACGCACTGCTCCGCCTCGAAGCCTCTCATGCACACCTGCGACGACGAACGACGGCCGACGGCCTGCAGCCCTCCCCGGAGGGCGCCGACCAAGCGCCGACCAGGTGAGCCACTCGCTGGGACCAAGACCGGCCTCCTCCTCCTCCTCCTCCTCCTCCTCCTCCTCCTCCTCCTCCTCCTCCTCCTTCTACCTCCACCTGCTCACTCTGCCTCCTCCTCCTCCTCCTCCTCCTCCTCTTCCTCCTCCTCCTCATCATCATCATCCTCCTTTACGTTGGCCAGACAATGACCGACGGGTCTCGTAGCCTTGCCTCGTTATCCTATTCCTCCTCCTCCTCCTCCTCATCCTCCCCCTCCTCCTCCTCCTCCTCCTTCATCCTTTTCCCTTTAAGCAACTCCTCTCTGTCGCACCCCATACGCGTCGGTAGGGTGGGGCGGGCGTCTCGGGTAAGACTTCCTCGCCACTTCTGATCCTGAAGCGTCGAACGTGCAACAACTTCAAGGATAGAGGGCGGGTGGTCTTCAAAATGTGGTTTTATCGCCTTGGTGCCGCGCACATTCGTTTCAACAATTTGAGGCAACTTCACGGATGGATGAATCCGTGTTCAAAATTTGATCTCGCAAGAGCACCGCGCATACTCGTCTTACCAAATGGCGACTGCTTTAAGGATGGAGGGTTGCCCATGTTCAACACGTTTCTCTCGCCATAGCGCTGCGCGCATGCGTCTTAAAAACGTGCAGGCATGCCAAGGATGGAGGGCAGTCCGTTTCCAAAATGTTGCATTCGCCTTTGCGACGCGCAAATTCGCTTTAAAAGTTTGTAATATTGTCAGTGACTCGTATGGTTAAAGTCCTGGGGATTGTGTTCTGGCAGGACGTAGGACCGTGAAAGCGCAATAGTAGCGTTGATTCGCGGAGTTGAAGTCCCAGGACTTGTTTTGGCAGGAGTGGAGACTCTCAGACGGTTGTCTTCCGATGGGGCACGTCCCGAATGCAACAAAAAAAACTGCATGGACTTCTGAAGAAGGAACTCGGATGGAGATGATATTACAGCATCGTTGGTGCGTCTTGGGTTTGCACTGGTCCTCCTCATCATCCCCCTCCTCCGCCTCCTCCTCATTACCATCAGCATCATCGTCATCATCATCATCGTCATCGTCATCATCATCATCATCATCATCATCATCATCATCATCATCATCATCATCATCATCATCATCATCATCATCATCATCATCATCATCATCATCATCGGCATCATCATCATCAGCAGCAGCATCATCATCATCAGCATCATCCTGTCTTACGTTGGCCAGACTCTAAGCGACGGAGCTGACAGCGTTTGCCTCCGCCTCGTCCACCTTCTCCTCCTCCTCCTCCTCCTCCTGCTCCCCCTCCTCTTCCTCCTCCCCCTCCCTCGCTCCCTCCCTCCCTCCTTCCGTCCCTCTCTCCCTCTCTCCCTCTCTCCCTCCCTCCTTTCATCCTGCCCTCCTTCCTCCTCCCTCCCTCCCTCCCTCCTTCCCTCCCTCCGTCCTTCCTTCCCTCCTTCCCGCACGACGTCGTGCGCTCGCGCCCGTCCCGCGCGTGGCCCAGGAAAACGGACTTGGCGTCCAAAACGGCCAGCACGGGCGGCACCGCCAATCGGAGCATGGCCAGCAGCGCACTCGATCCACGAAGGTCTCGCCCATCCTCCCCGAGAGGCCGCAGCAGACGTCCGCGCAGCCTCTCGCTGGCGCGAGGGCGGCGCAGCCCACGCTGGCGTGCCTCGCGCGCTCGCCCTCGGACGCCGGGAGCAGCGCGGGAGGGATCGGCACACGCCCCGCGCTGCCGCCGCGGAGCCATAGGTCGCGCGCACCTCTCGCGAGGGACCGAGCCCAGGGTCAACGCTCGTGGACATGTCGCGGGGGCTCCCCCGGGCCACTGTTAGGAGGCAACTACTGGGAGGTTCTCGTCGGAACGGTTAAGGAGGATTACGCCCCATTGGGGAGCTGTTGTGCATTCAGCCGGATTAATCCGGATGAAGCGGGATTAGGCCGGATTAAACCGGATTAAGCCGGATTTCGGACCAGGGCAAAATCAGAATTTGACCTCCCAGGAGTTGCATCCGAACCACTGTGATCGCTATAGCATTTGACACCAGTGCGGAGCTGCACTGCCAATGCCACGCCGTCCCGTGGGTCTGCTGCGTTCCTCTGAGCGTACACCGCCTGAGGCGGCGGAGAGCTCGAGAGGTCCATCCAACGAAACGGTCGATCGTGCCGCTCGTCATCTCGGCCAGCGAAGGTCCGGAGAGGCAGGGCACACCAGGCGCACCGCCTCGGGCTCCACGACCATCGTCGCATCGCCGAGCCGCGCGGCCACCCCGAGCCGGTCGCCACCGCGAGGATCGGCCAGTCCCGGGCGGAGTGCCGCGCCCACCGCGGCCCGCCGGGCTTGCCGTTGCACGGCCGCGGAGGGGTGCTGCCCTCGAGGCGGCCCTCGTGCCCCGCGGCGTGGGGCCTCTCGGCGGCCCACACCGCCGCGCCGCGGGCCTCGGCGCGGGGCGAGCCGCGCTCGCTGGCGCGGAGGGGTGCGGCCCTCTGGTCCACAGCACAGCAGGCAGGAAACAAAAACTCCTCCTGCGAGCGGCACTAGACAAGCGCGTTCCACTACTCGCAAAGTGACTACTCGCAAATGGCCTGGATCCCCCGCGGAGGATCTACGATGAATTACTTCGAACCAGACACGTGTTGTTCGGACGTTTGCGAGCACTTTGCGAATAGTGGAACGCGCTCGGTGAGGCACGACCCACCCCCTCTCCAAGCGGTCAGGAGTTGGGGTCTTGGCCGGGGATGGGGGTGGGTCGTGCGGTCCTCAACCGCGGGTTCGTGTCGTGGCCCCAGCGCTGGTTTCTGATACCGCGTGGATCGCTCCACCTCGAGCGATCGGTGGATTGGGGGAAACCAGAGGGAAAGGATACCGCTACCCCCGGACCTCTCCTGGGGTGCGTTCTGACCAGGACTTCGAGACGAATCCAGCGGTGGCGACGAGGGCCTCCCAGGAATCCCGAAAAGGGGAAAACGAGGGAGGGGTAGAGGTATGGGTACCTTTTCCTCCTCCGAGGTTCGTCGATCACCAGGTCGTTCCATGCTGGCCGATTCTGGGCCACTGGCGGCGTTCCAACCTTGAACGCCCCTCGGCGGGATCGCAGCCGCGTCGGCACGGCACAGACCTCTCAACCCTGGCGCAGCTCGTGTTCCCTATGTCTCCTCCTTCCCCTCCTCCTCCCCTCCCTCCCCTCCTTCCCCTCCTCCTCCCCCTCCTCCTCCCCCTCCTCCTCCTCCTCCTCCTCCTCCTCCTCCTCCTCCTCCCCCTCCTCCTCCTCATCCTGCTCCTCCCTCCCCTCCCCTCCCCTCCCCTCCTCCTTCCCCTCCTCCTACCCCTGAAGCCCGTCCGTGGCCATAGCGACAGATGGCGAAACCTGCAGCGACAGCCGCCCACTCGAGATTACACACGGCTTTGTTTTGGCCTTCGTCGGGAGGGCAAAGGCTGGGCCGCTGCGCTTGGGGCGAGCTTGTGGGAGGACGGAACTGCTCCGCCGTTGAATGCCGCATCCACGGACTCGGGCTCTGAAGACGGACTTATTTGAAACATCGTTCTTCTTGGCTGTGGACACCCCCGCCGAGGCGCATTCGTAGTAGCCCCTCTGCCCTCTCTTCCAAGGCGGCGAAATCTATACATAACCACTGCTCCCTGGCCAGGCTCATCTTGAACCCAGCATCGGCATACACGCCACGCCGCCCTGGCTTCGCCAGGAGGGCGTATACACAGCTCTGGGCCCCAGGAAGGGCACGGCCAGGGGGCAGGGGATGTGTATAGACTTCGTCGCCCGATCGTCCTCCTCCCACTCTCCCAGGAAGCCTTGCTGACGTAGAAGTGCAGGATGCCGACCTGCTGCATGAAGAAATCGCTCTGGGAGCAAGCTGCGGGCCACCAGCGCGCGGGGAAGAGGGGCGTGGCATGAGGGGAGAGTCCTCCTCCTCCTCCTCCTCCTCCTCCTCCTCCTCCTCCTCCTCCTCCTCCTCCTCCTGGTCCTGGTCCTGGTCCTCTTCTTCCTCCTCCTCCTCCTCCTCCTCCTCCTCCTCCTCCTCCTCCTCCTCCTTCTCCATCCATTCTCCTTATAAAAAAGCTCCTCCCTATCGCACCCCGCGGCCTGTCGAAAGGGCGGCGCGGGCGTTTCGCCTGAGGACTCCTGGTCACACTTGCAAGAACTTTGCGGATGGAGGGCGGTCCGTTTCCAAAATGTGGCCCTCGCCTTCGCGCCGTGCACGTTCGTCCTAAAAGTTTGCAAGCGTTTTACACATGGTGGGCAGCTCATCTACAAAAATGTGGTTCTCGCCTGAGCGCCGCGCACATTCGTTTTACAAAAGCATGCAAGAGTTTTACAGATGGAGGGCGGCCCGCTTTCACGACCTAGCGCCGCGCACATTCGTCCTAAGAGCTTGCAATAGCTTCGCAGATGTAGTGCGGGCCGCTTCCAAAATGTGGCTCGCGCCTTAATGCCGCGCACATTCGTTTTAAAAGCTTGCAAGACGTTCACAGATTGAGGGCGGGTGGTTTTCAACATGTGATTGCCGTAGCGCCGCGCACATTCGTCTTAAAAGCTTGCAAGAGCCGCACATATGGAGGATGACTCCTTCTCAAAATGTGGTTCTCGCCTTAGCGCCGCGCACATTCGTTTTTAAAGTTTGCAAAAGCTTGCGCCGCGCACATCCGTCTTAAGAGTTTGCAGAAGTTTGACGGATCCTCCTGGTTGGCGACCCAGAGATGGCTGTTGGCACGATGTCGGAGTGTCAGGGTACAACGGTCACGTTGATTCGCGGTGTGAAAATCCAGTGGGTGGCGTTCTGCCACGGTTCGGGATCGTCAAGACGCAATACTAACGATGATTCGCGGCGTTGATTTCACAGGAATGGCGTTCTGGTAAGAAATAACAACATGATAATACGGATGTCTTCCAACGGGGCACTTCCCCCAATGAAAATGAAATCGTGTAGGTGCCTATGAAGAGGGAACTTGGAGGGACGGTTTACTGCAATATCGTCAATGGCTCTTGGGTTTGCACTGGTCCTCCCCCTCCTCCTCCTCCTCCTCCTCCTCCTCCTCCTCCTCCTCTTCCTCCTCCTCCGATTCGCCCTGTCGCACCCCGAGGCCAATTGTAAGGGCGGCCCGGGCGTTTCGCCTGAGACTTCCCCACCATTCCTGGTCGTGAAGTTCACACATTTGCGACCGTTTCACAGATCTAGGGCCATTCGCTTCCAACATGTTGCTCTCGCCTCAGCGCCGCGCACATGCGTTTACGAAATGCAAGACTTAGACAGATTGAGGGCGGGTTGCTTTCAAAATGTGGTTCTCGCCTGAGCGCCGCGCACATGCGTCTTAAAAGTGTGCAAGAGTTTTACAAATGGCGGGTGGCCCCTTTTCAACATGTAGTCTCGCCTTGGCGCCGCGCACATTCGTGTTAAAATGTGCAAGAGGCCAACGGATTCTCATGGTTAACGTACCAGCAATTGCTTTCTGGAACGGCTCAAGAAGATTAGGGTGCAACAGTTATGTTGATTTGCGGTGCTGTGGCCCCAGGAAGGGCATTTTGCCACGATTCAGAATCGTCAATAAACAACAGTCATGTTGATTTGTGGCGATGAAGTCCCGAGAAAGGTGGTTTGGCACGCTGCCGGATCTTCAAATAGTTGTCTCCCAACGGGGCGCTTCCCTCAGTGAAAATGAACCCTCTGGGGGCCTATGAGGAGGGAACTTGGAGCGAGGGTTCATTCCAACATCGCTGATGAATATTAGGTGTACACTGGTGCTCATCCTCCTTTTTTTCTCCCCCTCCTCCTCATCCTCCTCCTTCTCCTCCTCTGCCTCCTCCTCCTCCTCCTCCTCCTCGTCCTCCTCCTCCTCATCTTCCTCCTCCTGTGCCTTCTCCTTCTCCTCCTCCTCCTCCTCCTCCTCGTCCTCCTCCTCCTCCTGCTCCTCCTTCCTTCCTTCCTTCCTTCCTTCCTCCCTTCCTTCCTCCTTCTTCCCTTCCTTCCGCAATCATAAGGCGGCCCGCAGTCGGGACGCCCGCCGAACGAGGCCGCCCAGCGCGGGCACCTACACCCACCGCGGGTGGGCCTGTCGGCGCCAAATCCGCGGCTGCACCCTCCCCGCAGCTGGGGGGATCGCCAGGCACCCATCGACGCCAACGCGTTTCAAAGATGGAATTGCGAGTGCACACACAGGCCCCCACGACTTGCTACCGAACACCCACCCACCCCCCGCTGCATTTTTTGGAGGGGGGGGCTCGCCCTGTCGCTGGCGCCCGGGTGGTCTGTCGCCTTCCGCCCAGGTGCTGAGAAAACCCTCATTGGTGCTCCCCCCTTCCGTGGTGAGCCTGGGACCCTCGGACACGCTTGGGGCTCTCGTCGGATGCCTTTGGGAGCCGTTGGGGGCCATCTGGGGGCCCTTTCTGGGCCTCTCGCGCAGGCCATCCTATAAACACCTCGAATCGAATCCTCAGAAGTCCATCGGAGGCCAGAAAAGGGAGAAGCACTGGAGTTCACAGAGAACGGATTTGCTGGCATTCACAAAGATTGGCCCCTCGAGGAAACCCTGTCCTGACGACCTGGGTGTGGTTTCGGAAACCACGCGGATCGTTTAACCTTGAGCGATCGGCGGACTTTCGATCGTCAGGTCGCCGTCGATCGCCACGTCGTCCCATATTGGTCGATTTGGGGGGTTCAACCCTGAACGCCCGCGGCGGGGTCGCCGCCGCGTCGGCACGACACGAAGCTACCGCACTTCAGAATCATGGGCCATCTGGGGGCCGTGCTGGAGGCCACACTGGGCCAACGTGCTCTGCGGGCTCATGGGAGCCTCCTATACCATCTCGGTGGCTCCTGTGAACCGACGCTGATCGACGCTACATCGACGCTAATCTACGCTAATCGACGCTCGTCGACGCTAAATCGGCACTCTCTCATCGATTACCAGGCGCTAATCGACGCTAGTGCGCCCTGAAGTCGAAATTACGAGGGCACACAAGACCCCCATGATTTGCGACCGAATCAACGTGGCTCCCCGGTCGCCATCATGCAACCCTGACGTGCCTTGTCCAACCTTGTCTGTCCCTGCCCAGTCCAGAAAGGGACCGCGGGCACCGTAACCCTACGGTTTGGGTCGCTGGGAGGGAGTGGCCTGCTGCATTAAAGGAACTCCTCCCTGAAGGGTCTCTTCCAAACAACAGACTCCGTGGAGGCCTGGACGAGAGAGGGGGGGCCCGGGGAGAGTCCAGGATTGCACAGGTTGGCCCCAGGGTGGCCCCAGATGGGCCAAGATACCCTCCAGGATGGCGCAAGGTGGCCCAAGCTTGGCGCAGAGTGATCCTCACAATGCCTTCGAAAAGCCCCAAACAACAATCGTACTCTACGGGGGCCTTAATCGAGAACCCCCAATGTTTGGTCGATGGTCTCCAGGACGTCCCCAACAAGACCCCAGAGGCACCCGAAGGTTGGAGGCCGCTGGGGAAGCAGCCAGGACCAAATCCCATTACACTCGGCCGGCGCGCTTGGTCCGTCAAAATCAACCTTACGACCCCCTATTCGCGAGAAGCTCTGATGCTAGGTCTCCTCTAACCGACGATTGGGCTGCGCAGGTTTGCTCGTACCCTATGAGCATCGCCCCCTCCCCCGTCGCCCCAGAAACACAAATCGCGCTCGCTGCCCCTCAGCGAGCTTCAACCCAAAATGTCCCCAAGAGAGCGTCTAAAGGGCCCAAAGATGGCTCGAAGAGGCCTCCAAGAGATTCGCAGGGGTCCACAAATTGGCCATTGCTGGGGGGCGGCTCGGGCTGAGCCCGGCTTCGGTTTCACTGATATCCCCCCTTTTCTTTGTTGCACGAATGATACGTAGCCCACGACCTCTTTCTCACGACAACTCGCCTAAGGACCCTTCTTCAATAGATTACCGGGAATATGTTTTGGTCAACGGCCTCGTGAAGCGGGTCAAGAGGCGCCAAACTCTAGCCGGGCCACGACTAGGCAGCGGAAAAGCGGAAAGCGGAAAAGCAAGACAGGCGCAGCAGGGCGTCAGCTCAGAAGGGCGAAAAGAATTGGTAGACCCATTCCCGGGAATACGCGAAGCGTCGAGAATACGGGGTGCCCCCAGGGGCCAGCGCAGCTGGGAGCAGTGGTGGCCTTGGCCACCGTAAGGAGCAAGCAGAGGAAACAAGTGCAAGACTGGACAAAAAAAGGGTACAGAGCGGAAGGGGTGCACACGTATTCCTACCAGTCGTTGCTAGCACAGCTCACGTCGGCGGCTCTCTTGAGTGTCCGTATGCCCTGGTGATTTCCCAGAGCCTTTACGATGACGTAACGATGGAGCAAGATGGCTTCAAGATTGTCCAAGTGACCTTCAAGATGACGACTGGAGGCCCCGAAACCGGCCAAGATGTGCCAAAGACGGCAGAACACGGTGCCAGGACATACGCACAGGCTCCGAGAGACGGCCCAAGAAAGCCCCAAGAGGCCTCAAGAGATCTCGACGCAGTCAAAACAATTGATTCGCTCCTCCTTGTGTGGGAGTTCCGCAGACTCCCGTGTTCGGTGCTCAGAGCGTCCAAGCGGGCCCAAGAGGTTCCCAAGAGCGCCCAGGGATGGCCCGAAGGCCACCCCAGAGGGCCCTCGGCAGGTTCCAAGAAGGCCCAAGAGGGCTACGAGGCACCGCACGAGGCGCGCCCAAGAGAGCCCCACGAAGGACCCAGCACGGCCCTGGCAGAGCCGCCACGCAGTCCCAAGACACCGACGCATCAGAGACGCGCTCGGATTTCCGAAGCGCCTTCACCTTCCTCCTCAAAATCACCCTGCTGATCAAATGTCTTCTCAGCCTGCTCTTCCGTCATCATAGCGACTCGCAAAGCAACATTCGATCAGGGTTCTTCGCCTCCTCCTCGTCCTCCTCCTCCTTCCCCCTCCTCCTCCTCTTGATCACTCCTTGCGAGGTTTCGTGGCGCGTTCCCCTCTGGGGGCCCGCCGTGACTACAACTCTGCGGGCTCAGTAAAGCTTTATCAACAACCCTTCCCATATTGAAGGGCGAAGCGGGACAGGATATCCACAGTTTCGCACGTGGCCTAGCAGGCGGAAAGCAGGCTGAGCCGAACACATCCCCCCCCCAAAAAAAAAAATACGGTGGAGGGGGCACTGGCCACGACCGCTGACACTCGCACTGCGCAAACGCTAACTCCAAAACGAAAAGCAAAACCTAGGGCATGTTGTGTTGGACGTGCGTTAGAAGTTCGACGCAAGCGCTAACTCGCAGGCAGCAACTGGACCGAACGAGGGCCCGAAACAGGTGAACGAGCGAGGGCCAGAGGAAAGACAGCACGGCGAAGGGACCGCGACCGAGCGAAGAAGCCCGAGGCCCGAGACCCGCAGGGGCCACCAAGCAAAGCACGACTGAGCAGGTATAGCCTCTAGACTTCAGTCGGGCGTGTCCCAATACAGGCGAATTTTGGACGAAAAATACGAAAGTAATACTCCAGAAATGCCCCAAATATGCTCAAAAATAGTCAAAAAATAGTCCCAGGACTATTTTTGACTATTGCTGAATATTCCCCCTGTAGAAGGACACGCCCGACTTAACTCTAGACCGACGTGCCCAGGAAGTCAGACATCGCAAGACACTGGAGATGCAGCTCAAGACGTAGTCGGAGGCCCTGCGCTGCGCAGGGGCGGGCTGCGGCGCAGGGCCGCAGGCCTGCTGCCGTCCCCGTACTTCGCCCTCCTGCGCCGGGCGGCGGGGAGGAAGCCGGTGGGGCGGTTCGGCATCTGCTCGAGCACGCGTTGACTCAAGGGGCGGGTGCGCGCGCACATGCTCTGCGCGCGTAGACCACACTGGCGTGCTGCATGCCGGGGCCAACGATGGTCGGAGCGGGGTGGGCTGCCCGCGCTTGCGCAGAAGGTCACAGTAATGCTACGGCTCTCATGACACCGCTAGCGAAGGCAATGACTATGATGGTTCGGGGCAGCGCCGATGTCGATACCCTCAGCCATCGACAGCCGATGGAAATGTTTACGACGATGTCATTGCTGATAATGATGATGACGATGATGATGATGATGATGATGATGATGATGACGGTGGTGGTGGTGGCGATGACGATTGTGGTGGTGATGATGATGATGCTGACGATGATGGTGGTGATGATGTTGATGATGATGAAGATGATGATGATGATGGTGGTGATCACACTGATGATACTGGTGATACTGATGAAGATGAAGATGAAGAAGATGATGATGATGGTGATGATACTGATGCTGATGATGATGGTGGTGATCATGATGATTATGGTGATGAGGGTGATGACGATGATGATGATGATGATGACGGTGGTGATCATGATGATGATGGTGATGGTGATGATGATGAGGAGGAGGAGGATTGTTTCTTTCCTCCATGGCACAAATGCGGTGATGATGGAAATTGCTAGCTGCCCTCAAGAGGGAAAGAGGGCTCCACCACGGGAAGCACCAACCGTGGAGGAGAAGGAAGATGGACACCAGCCCTAAGAGACGAACAGGCGGCCAAGAGCACGAGGCAAGAGAAAGTCCACACTCCTCATAAGGGGAGCATTCCACATACATGGCAAGCAGCAACAGAGAGAAGCGGGGCGCGCCGGGGCAGCAGACCGCACTGTAAATGGAGGAGAAAGAAGAGGGGAGGGGTGATGATGGAGAGAGGGAAAGACGCGTCGTGTGGGCATCCCCGATGGCTCTACCAGCCATTTTCTATAAACATACAACGGGCGCAACGGAGAAAGAGGAGAACGGGAGGCGAGGGGGATCGAACAATGAGGGAGGAGACAACGTATCCATTCAGAGTCGAGTGACCGCCACGCTAAACCTCAGATCCCTCAAGTGAGACGGCGGGTTGAGGAAGAAACGCACCGCAAGAGCCAGCATGCACTTGCAGGACGCAGCCTGTCAACACTTGATTGTGTGAGAAACCCTGGTCCACCGGATGCGGGCAGGGGTTAGACATGGAACGGGCGAAGATACGCCCGCGCTACACAACTGCAGAACATATTAGGAATGTGTAACGTCAATTGTCCGTCGCCACTCTCGCCGCCATACCGAAGGGAACGAACGAGGAGGAAGGAGGAGGAGTAGGATGAGGCATGGCAAGGCAAGCGAAACTACAACCAGCTGATGGTAGCAAAAACCAGAGCCCCTGTCGTGCTGGTAGGCGGCCGGAGGGAAAAAGGTCGGGAGACACCCCGAGACATCAGAGGAAGTCGAACGCTCTCCAGCGGGGAGTCCGGGCAGCCTCTCAAGTCTTCCCGCGCCTCAGCAGGCATAATCACAACATTTCCAACGGCGAGCGGTCTTATCAGAGTTACCCCGCTCCAACATGCCAGCTAGGACCTCACACAGGAAGGGAACGGGGCGGAAAGAAGAAGAAGAAGAAGAAGCGGTCTGCTGACCGGCCGCGGCGGGCCGGGCCCCTGACGGCGCACGGAAAAGCGCCTGGGCAGACCGAGTGAGACGAGCAACAAGTGAGAACGGGGCGGAAAGAGGAGAGAGAAAGAGAAAGGGAGAGGAAGAAAGGGAGGGAGAGGAAGGTCAAAAGGGAGAGAAAGAGAAAGGGAGAGAAAGGGAGAGGATGAACCTCAGCCAGGGAGAGGAGAGAGAAAGAGAAAGGGAACGTAGCGGAAGATCAAACGTTGGGCGCAAGCACTCGCCAACTGAATCCGTGAGAAGTGGATGTGGGCACCGCGGTGCCTGGCCTGGCGCGGAGCAGCACCGCAGCGGCCGGAAGGAGAGCCCGCGCCGACGAGGCAGCCCGAGGTCGGCCGGCAGCGGCCGCAGGAACGCGTGCGCGCCATGCCCATGCAAATCGTGGTGCACGGGCCACGCGTTCGGGGCGGGAGGGAAGAGGGCCCCAGGGGACCGCAAGAGCGGGAGGAAAGCGACGAGGGCGCGGGGCAGCTCCCATCGGCTGCCGGGTGCAGCGTGTCCCGCAGACCATCGGCCACGCGGCTTGGGACGGGGGGGCCACGATGCTTTACACCACATGGTGTCGAAGTGTGTTGCGGCCTGCTGTTCAAGTGAACTGCGCGCAGAACTATACGTACTTACCCAGCTTCGACTCTCAGATTCCCAAGAGGTGGGAGAGCGGGGGGGAGGGAGGGGCGGTGACGAGAAGGAGGACGACGATGAGACGATTGAGGTGACGGTGATGGTGATGATACGGTGAGGATGACAATGACGAGAACAGGAATGATGATGTGAAGGAGGACGATGACGAGAAGAGGGATGATGATGGTGTGAATACTGATTACTACGACGGCGACGACGACGACGATGCCGATGATGATGATAAGCTGGTGTTATGGGATTGGCGCCTGCAAGCAATCCTTACGCACTCGGCGGATGGGGGACTCAGCCTTTACGCGAAGAACTGCATACTTGCATCAGATGAAATAGCGGGAAAGCCATCGCAAAACTTGAATCTGAGGGGGGGCGTTTGTCCCATCACGTGCGCATACACAAGTATTTGTATGTGGCACTGGTCGAGGCCAGCTACCACTCGATGCACACACTGCAAACAAAGGTCAACCCATTCCCAGACGTCAAATACCTAGCCATCACAGCTGGAAGCCCACACGCATGCAGAAAGGGGGGGCTCGGAACATCCTGATAAGGCTCTGGCCCCCGAGATCCCACGTCGTGAGAAACCACAACGTCGCAACACAAACAACAACAATAATAACAAGAACAACCACACCAACACAACAACAGCAGCAACAACAACCATCACAACAACAACCCCAACAACGACCCCAACAGCAACAACCACAACAGCAACAACACCAACAACAACAGCATAAACAACAGCATAAACAACAACAACAACAACAACAACAACAACAACAGCAACAGCGACCACAGCCACTACCGCAAGACCAACAACAACAACAACAAAAACAGCAACAAGCACAGCATCACCAACAACAACAACAACACCAACAACAACAGCAACAGCACTACCAACAACAACAACAACAACAACAACAACAACAACAGCAACACCAACAACAGCAGCATCAACAACAACCACAATCACAACAGCAACAACAACACCAACAACAACAACAACAACAACAGCAGCAACAACAGCAGCAACAGCAACAACCACAACAGCAGCAATAACAACGACAAACTACCTGAAATCTTGACCCTATCGTCTTGCGGCCCCCCTCGAGATGGATCGATCCGTGATGGTCCCAGGGCCCACACACCAAACAGAGAACGCCCGAAGCCCAGGGTCGAGAACGCCCAGGGGGCCGTCCCGGGGCCCGAAATCAAAGCAGGGCCGACTGATGGGCCCCAGCGGTCCGCCACCTGGCTAGCAGCGCCCCGCTGGGAGACGTCCTGGGGAATCGCCGCTGCCGTCCTTCCAGCGGGCGTCCCAACGCCCGACGCGCACCATGAGCACGACACCGTCGTCGTCGTCGTCCATGCCCTCGCCATCGTCGTCCTCGTCCTGGTCCTCCTCCTCCTCCTCCTCCTCCGCAACCTCCTCCTCCTCCTCCTCCTCCTCCTCCTCCTCCTCCTCCTCCTCCTCAACCTTCTCCTCCTCCTCCTCTTCCTCCTCCTCCTCCTCTTCCTTTTCCTCCTCCTCCTCCCCCTGCTCCTCCTCATCCTCCTCCGCCTCCTCCTCCTCCGTACGCTGCCGCAGGCGGGTCGCGGCAGGCGCTGGCCGTGAGGCTGGCTCGGCGCAGACACACACACACACACACACACACACAAACTCTCCCCGTGCCCCTGCCAGTCTACTCTCGGCTACACGCAAGAATGACCCTAGCCAAGAGAGACCTTTGGTGCGCGACTTCAGGGGGGCGCGGAGGGGGGGCCAAATCCGTGCGCGCAAGGCGCTGCTATCGCATCGAATTCGGCCATCTGGGGGCCCCAGAGGGCCCGCACCAAAGGTCACTCCGGCGAAGGGTCTATCTCACGTGTAGTCGAGACTCGGCTGGGGGCCAACAGCCTGCACCTCGGCGGGGCCAGTGGGATCACCACCTAGCCGCGCCTCCTCGGCGGGGCGGGTGTTGGATCCGCCTCCTCGTCCTCATCGACGCGCTCGCCATCGCCATCGCCGTCGCCGTCCAACGCGCCGGGAGGCCAGCGCGAGCTCCTGCGCAGTAGCACGCCGCGACGGTGCTGGCCTGGCGCGGCTCAGGGTTCTGAAGCCATGGACCATCCCCCGCCGTCCCAACACCAGGGCATTCGCCCCCCCTCCTCAAGACGCTGCCGATCCTTCTTCGAGCCTGCATTATCATGCATGCATGCATGCATGCATGCATGCAAGCATACCTACCTACCTACCTACCTACCTACCTACCTACCTACCTGTATACATACATTCATACATACATACATCTATACATACATACATACATACATACATACATACATACAGACAGACAGACAGACAGACAGACAGACAGACAGACAGACAGACAGACAGACATACATACAAACAACCATCCATACAAACATGCATGCATGTATGCATACATATACACGCATACATACAGTCATACAAAGATATATACATATATGCATACATATGTACATACATTCATTCATACAGACAGACAGACAGACAGAGAGACAGGCAGAGAGACATACATACATACATACGTACAAGCATGCCTACATACATGCATGCATACATACAGACAAACAGCTATACACGCATGCATACATACATACATG